CTCCGTGTTAAAATAGGAAATTTTCGGGTCGTGGGGGTCACGGGTGCCCATGTTCAGCTATCACTGTGCGAGAGGCGGGGGACACCTGGACAGCTCAATGGGATTAACCTGTTTAAATAAAGGTGGAATGAATGACAGGCGTCCAGTCCATCACAGGGACACGGAGACAATCATCCATTCTGTCACACACACCTAGGGACAAAATCAGTCTATAACATGCATGATTTTTGGTCTATGGGAGGAAACAAGAGTACCTGGAGAAAATCTGATTCATGCAAACATTTTGGGTGTGCTGGTGAACAGGTTGGTAGAAAAAATATATGTAGTCATTTACATGTACTTGAGCAATTACATAATAATAACAATAATAAAAAGATAAAATCAATAGAATAGAATGTTAGAATAATGAAATGAATAGATACAAAAATAATTACAATAACAAATTACAACATGGATGAATGAAATTAGTCAATTTGAATTAAAAAATTAAGAAAATAAAAATGACTAAAATAATTAAAAATAACGAATAAATAATTTTATACTGTGATTTTTTTACTAAAAGAAAAATAAATACAGCAAGTCTTTTCCTAGACGCACGAATAAAGTGCGGTGATGTGAATCGTGTTGTTTCTCACCAAGAACAGCAGGCTGTTGTGAGCTGCTCGCTGAGGGGGATGGCGCAGGGGCAGAAGAAGACGGGACGCTTGGCGGGTCTGAAACGGAATTTTCTGCCCAATCTTCACAGGGCAGAACATATCCTGGATGAAAATAAAGTGAAAAACAGAAACAGAGTTAGCAGTGAACAAAGTAGCATCGATGCTAACTAATGAGGAGCGCTTCATGGGCAACAGCGTCAAAATATGCTCAAAACTGATGCATTTAGAACTTAAATGCATGCTTTTTTTTATTATATTATATATTTAATTATGCTTAAATTTAGAATAAACTCACCGTCTTCCATCATGGATTCCAGCCGAGCAGTGGCTGTGTCCAGGCTACTCACTCTCCCATTGCTAGCAGGGCGATTACCATAAATGGCATCCATTACATCAAACCATTTCCAACTTCGTCGGTTAGATCTGCTCCTGCCATTATGGTCTTTTACCATGCGGTAGTCGCTTTTAAGTTTCTTTAGTTTTTCGCGGCATTGCTTCAGTGTACGATGGTAGCCCTGGGAAATCATCTGCTCCGACAACTCTTTAAAAATCCCCTCATTGCCGATCGATACGTCCAGCTCCCTCTGAACGTTTTCCTCGCCCACCAAGCACAAAAACACCTGCACTTCTGTGTTGGTCCACGGTGTTGACATTATTATTTATATATATATGTCCTGTAGATCCTGCGACTTGAGAGTTTTTGTGGGCTGGAGCGAAAATGGCGGATTGTAGAAAGTTTTTAGTTTCAGTGACTCCGCCCCCAACCAATCAGTGACTGACAGTGTTCTGACGTCATGTTTTATTACCTACTCGTTCGGGTTAGAACCACAGAGCCAAGGGTCCTGAAAATAGTACCAGGTCCTAAGTAAGGTACTAATGGAAAAGCCTCAGAATCGGGTCGCGTCGAGTCCAGTTGGGCTGTACCGGTACTAGTGGAAAAGGGGCATCTGTTGAATCTCAACATCCATGTTTACATTTTCACTTGCTCTTGGACATGTTTTTTTTTCCCCCAGACTCTTTTTATGTTTGTACCAATAAGTTGACACAAAAAAGATTTGTAGTTTGATGAGTAAATTCTAAAATGGTATTAATACTTTTAACCAAGCCAGCAATTCAAGAGCATTGTCTAAAATAGTTTGATATTGCCATTACTTTTTTTGTTTTTTTTTAGATATTCTTTGGCCGGGATGTATACTGTATGGCTAAAAACTGAATGAAATATGAAAATAAAATAAAAATGGAGAGCCATTAGTTTTTATACAATTGCATAAAAGCTATTGAAATATTAGAAAATGTCTTAGCTAGAGCATGAGTTGGCTTCGAAGA